TCTCTCTCTCTCTCTCTCTCTTTCTGTCTCTCTCTCTCTCCAGAATTGTGATAAAATGAATCTCTGTGATTTAAGCCACCCAATCTATGGTATTTTGTTATGGCAGCCCAAGTTCAGTAATAAGAAGGGAAGATATATGGTAAGTATGAAATATGAGGACAGTTTTCCACTCAAGGCAATAGATGATTTTGAAAGCTATTGCTCTAATATTGACACGATGAGAAGAGTCTTTGATAAAATTGTGGAGCTGAGGAAAGAAAAATTGCAGTTAATGACTAACTAAATAGGAGTCTACACACACACAAGCATACACGAAAATGCCTAGCAATTGAAGATCATGGGGTAGAATTTGTTTTAAAAACCAGAAAAAAAGGATTAAATAGTAAAGGAAGAAAAATTGAGAAATTGATCTACACTAAAAATTTTCTACATTAAGAAGACTTCATTAAAGGAGAGAACTGATAAGCATAAACTAAGAAAAGATATGTTCAAGATATATAACTGACAAAGGGTTAATATTGAAAAGATATAGTTTCCTACAGATCAATAAATGAAAGATAGGCATTTCAATAAAAACCTTAAGTAGGAACTTCACAAAAGAGGACACCCATATATTTTGCTAATATCGAAAAATTTGCCACCTCATTTAGTAATCTAGTATTTGTAAGAGATACTACTCAAAAGAATGGATAAAAGCATGAAAAGTGACCATTACCAAGTATAAGAAAGAATTTGATGCAAAGGAACCTATCGACACTGCTGGAATGAATATTAATTTCTGTAAAAATACAAATTATTTTGTATATATCCACTTTGACTCAGAAAATCTCTTCATCGGAAACTTAGACAGATGCTTGCTGAAAGACAAGAATGAGAATGTTGCGACAAGTATTTGTGATAGTCAAGTATTAGAAAGAACACACTAGTCCTTTTACAGTAGAATGGTTAATTAAGCTGTTATATACTAATCTGTCATTATTATATGAAAAAGACAAAACTGTTGCTGCACACAACAACAACAATTAAAATTTGAAAGGAAGAAGCCAAAAACAGTTACTGTGTTATTCCATTCATACAAAGCTTAAAAACAAGCAAAATAATCTATGGTGTTACAACAGTAGTTACCTTTGGGTAGGAGGGAAAGAATAGCAAATGAAATGAGGACAGTGGTCCCTGGAGTGATGGTTAGATTCTGTTTCTTGCCCTGGGGATTGGTAGCATGGGGCATTTATGGGGTTCAGCTTTGCTTTTGGCCCCACCTCTGTATGAAGGTCGCCGTCAGCATCTCTTTCCTCCCAGACAGGACTGGGTTAAAGCAGCGGCTGATTAGGGAGCTCTTGCTCATTCAGGCCAGGGGAAGAGAGGGCTATGGTAGTTGCCACTGGAATGTGGGGCCCTCCTGCGGTGGCAGAGGCCGCCATGATGTTGCAACAGCCTGAGGTGCTCATTGTGCTCTCCCGGGGAAGTTGTCCCTCGATCACGGGACCCCGGCAGTGGCGGGCTGCAGAGGCTCCTGGGAGGGGAGGTGTGGATAGTGACCTGTGCTTGCACACAGGCTTCTTGGTGACTGCAACAGCAGCCTTAGTGTTTCATGCCTGTCGCTGGTGTCCGCGCTGATAGCTGCGGCTCACGCGCGTCTCTGGAGCTCATTTAGGCGATGCACTGAGTCCCCTCTCCTTGCACACCCCGAAACAATGGTCTCTTGCCCCTTAGGCAGTTCCAGACTTTCTCCCGGACTCCCTCCCAGCTAGCTGTGGTTCACTAGCCCCCTTCAGGCTGTGTTCATGCAGCCAAACCTAGTCCTCTCCCTGGGATCTGACCTCCGAAACCCGAGCCTCAGCTCTCAGCCCCGCCCGCCCCAGCGGGTGATCAGACAAGCCTCTCGGGCTGGTGAGTGCTGGTCGGCACCGATCCTCTATGCGGGAATCTGTCTGCTTTGCCCTCTGCCCCCCTGTTGCTGTGCTCTCCTCCGTGGCTCTGAAGCGTCCCCCCTGCCCACCCCCATCTCCCCCAGTGAAGGGGCTTCCTAGTGTGTGGAAACATTTCCTCCTTCACAGCTCCCTCCCAGAGGTGCAGGTCCCGTCCCTATTCTTTTTTCTCTGTTTATTCTATTTTCTTTTGCCCTCCCCAGGTACGTGGGGAGTTTCTTGCCTTTTGGGAAGTCTGAGGTCTTCTGCCAGCGTTCAGTAGGTGTTCTGTAGGAGTTGTTCCACGTGTAGATGTATTACTGATGTATTTATGGGGAGGAAGGTGATCACCTCGTCTTACTCCTCACCATCTTGAAGGTCCCCCTCCAATGATAAATAACTTATATACATCAGATCTCTATTTGGGGAGGTCATCCTAAAATTTTGGAAAGTCCTACCACCTCAAAAAGTGTACAATATATAATTAATTAAGACATGCCAGAAATAAAAAGAAAGCTTATGACACTTTGAAGAATTGTGTTAACAGAAGAAGCTGTATTTAGAATAATTTTGAAAAAAGAAATCAGTATGTCTCCTGTTCTAAAAAGGCCAGAGGGAAATGTCATAGTCTTCTTATTAATTGATCATTAAGGAAATGAGAATGCATCAGAATACCCTAGTTTAATCATACAAACCTGTGGGTTCAAGCCATTTATTTGTCCAGGTTCTCTGTCCATGAAGGAGTTTGACTTCCTCTGGAGAGTTCTCTGCAGGGACAAAAGGTCACGCCTAAAGAGCATGAATATACAGCCATGCTGGCTTATCTGTTGTAAATATATAAATCAATCCTGTGTTTAAAATAAAGTTTTGTTTTGTTTGGTTTGATTAATGTGAACCAAGTTCAATCAATGCTGGGCATAAAAACAGAGTAAACTTTGTGTCCATAAAGAGGAACAGCAAATCCTGGGCAAGGACTAAGGAGTCTTTGCCTGAGGAACCAGCCAAGATCACTTCCATCCATTGGTTTTTAAATGTTTGCATCTGTTCAATTTCCAGTAATTAAGCAAAAATTTATTGAGTGTTTAATATGAGCTAGGTACTGTGTACGTGACTGGGAACAAAAAATTGAAAAAGGCATAGTTCCTACTATGGTGGAACTTTGTCCAGTTTAGGAAAGTAGATAAATGAACAAGTCTCATGTTGTAAGTGCTTACATACATGTGAGTTCGGAGTCTTCTGATAATACAGAGTAAAAGCATCTTAGTAGGAGAGGAAAGTCAATAGTAATTCCCAATTTATATCTACATAGGCTTGAAAGGAAGGGGTCCTTGCTGAGGGTGCTTCTCTTCCCTAGGGTGGGATGCTAATGTCATTTAGTATGGAGGGAAGGGTGAAAGACTTCCAGACACACAGAGGGAAATCACACACACACAAAAATTATCCTACATCCATACTCAGCTAAGTACTCATGTAGCTGAAAATAGGCAATTCTGAGCCTAGCTCTTTTTTTTAAAAATTGAAGTATAATTGATTTACAATGTTGTGTTAATTACTGCTGTACAGCAAAGTGATTCAGTTATACATATATATACCATTTTTTTACATATTCTTTTTTATTATGGTTTATCATAGGATATTGGATATGGTTCTCTGTGCTATACAGTAGGACCTTGTTTTTTATCCATTATATATATAAAAGCTTACATCTGCTAACCCCAAACTCCCACTCCATCCCTCCACCAAACGCATCCTTCTTGGCAACCACTAGTCTGTTCTCTATGTCTATGATTCTATTTCTGTTTCATAGGTAGGTTCATTTGTGTCATATTTTAGATTCTACATATAAGTGATATCATATGGTATTTGTCTTTCCCTTTCTGACTTACTTCACTTAGTATGATAAACTCTAGTTGCACCCATGTTGCTGCAAATGGCATCATTTTGTTCTTTTTTATGGCTGAGTAGTATTCCATTTCATGTATGTACCACATCTTTTTTATCCATTGCTCTGACAATGGACATTTAGGTTGTTTCCATATCTTGGCTATTGTGAATAGTGCTGCTATGAACATAGGGGTGTATATATCTTTTTGAATTACAGCTTTGTCTGGATATATGTCCAGAAGTGGGATTGTTAGATCATATAGTAATTCTAGTTTTAGTTTTCTGGGAAACTTCCATACTGTTTTCCAGAGTGGATGGGCCTAGATCTTAATTCCATTAAATAGAAATGATCTGTTGTACATTAAATATTCATTTTGTTTTCTATAAGTGCCACTATGAGGTAATTCAAGAGAAGGTTGTTAAAGTATGGTGTTGAGTGATGAGTTTTTATAATGTTGGAAAAAAGAAATCGCTGATAGAAAAGCCATTGATGGCATTTTTACTTCTAGTACAAATATATATATGGGTATATGGGTCTGCATTTATAGCTGTCATATTAAGATGATTTTATTTAAAGTAAGTGGTGTGATTGTGCTTCAGCACTGACATATTAAAATACATTTATTTTATATTTCTTTTGATTTCCTTTTCATGTTTCCTGAGTTTAGAGAGTAATTGTCTATATATATAAAATATTTTTGTACTTTAAAAATGTGCTTAATTTTCCAAAAGTATAATGACCACACATTTCAAAGGAAAAATGTGTATACTTTTGTTCAGAATTGTATATTTTTATCATTTTGGAAAATGATGTCACCAAAGGCAATGCTTCCCATGATATTTCAGTTTTTAGGAAAATACTCATTTATCAGGTTTCATTAGTAGTTTTCACAGTCGTGTGATTTGTTGTACAAGTGCAAATATCTAACTATTTCAATATAATTTCTTTAATAGTTGTGTCCAGCATTTTTAAATCCAGCAATGGCAGGTGGAGTCCTTTTCATTGTGCATCCCTCTGATCCTTCCTCTGTCCTCACATCTCTCTCTAACCCAGCCAGGAAAGGTTCTCTGATTTTAAAACCTCATGTGGTTAGATTGGACCCACTGGGATAATTCAGAATAATATCCCCGTCTGGAGATCTGTCCCCTTACTTCCATCTGCAATCTTAATTTTTATGGCATACGAGGTAATATATTCACAGGTTTCATGGATTAGGGTGTGGACATCTTTGGGGGCCATTATTCAGGGTCCAGGAAGCACAACCTCAAGGTCCAATGATCAGGAGGATGCAAATATAAAAATGCCCCCTATGACCTAAGGTAACTTTTGATATTGAAATAAGTTTTTCATCGGAGAATTCCCAGAGTCTGATGCAGACCTCATCAGCAACCTGCCCGAATATCTGCCCACATCTGTAAGAGAAGAATGAGGGCTGCTGCTTCTTCTCTTCCACCTTACAAATCCTGCACGAGTACCTCTTCATGAGGTAATTGTATCCAGAACTTCCTTCACACGTGAATCAAGGAAATGTCTTCCCCTTTCAGTCGAAGGGATTAAAGATGATGATGAACTAACAACAGGGAACATATTTGTACAGTCCATACATTTGTCAACTCAGCATATGTAAACATAATCCTATCCTTTCAAATACCCATAAAAACATCATGTTCCATCAAACATGACGGCGCCAACCTTCTTACAAAAGAATATAGGTTCCTCCTCTCTCCAGAAGGTAGGGAACCCAAGTTTTGTCTTTCAATCTCTGTACCCATTTCTGATTAATGATCCCTCCCCTTCTAGTTCAATCAAACTCCTCCTTCGACATTCTATAACACAACCACTAGTATTTTAGGTCAAACTTGCACAAAATAATATGAGAGGGAATAGGGAAGAAGCCAGTTAAAATATATAAATACATAAATAATCAAGAAAGAAAAAAATATGCCTGGTTTCTATAGTGGCCATTATTACAAGTGGTCATGGGAAAGTTAAAATTTGATTTTTCCATAATCATTCAAAGTTCTGGTCTTGGTTGTTTAACTTGTGGAATAACTCAAACCTGTATTCTTGAAGTCTCTGAAATATAGTAGTCCTGCTCATTTTGGTTTTCAGAACTCTCCTATTAATTTTTATCACTAGTTATAGAAGTACTAAAAAGTTAACTAGATAGTAACCTGGAAAACAGACCGATTTCTCCTCATTCCCTGTGTATACCAGCAATCCTAATTCCCTTGGATAATGAACATCAGTCACCTAAGAAATACAAAATCTGGTTTTTTTTGGTGATTAAAAAATATAGGAGCCCAAAATGACTGGGTAGCAGTACTTCTTCTGGTTCAATATAGTTTTAAAAGACCGAAGACATTTAAATCAGTAGAGCACAAAACTGAAGGCATGAGAACAGGAGAATGTGTGTGTGGCCCATTAGAGGAAAAGTTAAGTGGTTAATTTAAAAGTGAGTCACTTTCATTCTCCACTGCTTGGTTCACAAGTTGAGAATTCTGATGGGAGAAAAGTCACCACGTATTAAAATTGGTTCATGTTATATACCGAACCTCCTCGGATATCACCCTAACTGTATGAGATAAGGTTTAAATGGGATATAAGTTCTTTCACTCTTATATCATGTCTGTTACTTCCAGTGATGGGTGTGTAGTAAAGACAGTGAATCCCCTGGATATGTATTGGTGAAACGAACACCTTGATCAGAAACAATGCAATGTGAAACGTTATAACAATAATTAGGGCATTCAGCAAGTCTACAAAGTTGGTATGGCAGAAGATTTTAATTGGGGAAAGCAAATGCACTTACAGAATATGGTTCTATTTCAATCAGTAGTAACTCCTGCACCTTCCATGTTGGAAGGAAAGTACTACAAATCACTTGCTACCAGGAAGGCTGGTGATACTCTGAGGGAGTATTACCCTGTTGGGGGCTTAGAAATGTCTGCTTTTTGCTGTTTGATCTTTCAACCGGAGTAATATTCAAATTAGCTTTGTTTAGAGGAAACTTAAATTGTTGAAATCTTTGCATGATTTCCCCCAAGCCACCTTCACCACCACTGCCCTTTTTAAGTGTCTGACCACTGACAAGGAACTAGTGTAGATCTGTACCTCTGGCCATCTCTCCCTCCAAGCAAAGTGAAGAAGCAGATGCATTATTTAAAGTTCTTCCCACTGGAATATTTTCCACCCCTATTTTCCATCAGGCCCACACCTGAGGATTACAGAGGTCTGTTTCTGGTTTTTGTCAGCACAACATGCAAAACTATCAGGTATTCAGTCAATGTAGAAAGATGTTTTCCCCTCTTTATACATCAGTCTGAAATGGGAGACTCTCCATGAGGTCAGGGGTATGGGCTGGAGGAGAAGTAGTCATGCAGCAGGAATAGGTGGTTCAAACTTCTTCTTTCCCATGGTGGTTTCCACTATGACTACATGACTTTAGAGGAAAAAAAAAATACAAATTAGAGTTATCACTAGGGAAACCCAGGTATATTGGTCAAGAAGATGTCCACATTCAATTTCATAGGAAAGATTTTCCCAGATATTCTCACCTCATAAATAGCCATCTCCACTAATTCATTCTCAATACTACAGTAGTGTGCCTCATTCAGATGGCCTTATTGTTTCAATAAGGATTGAATTAAAAGTTATTGTAGTATTACTCCACTATGCTTGCCCAGAGGAATCTTTTAATATATAAATATTTTAGCATATATATATATATATATATATCAGTTTGTAGTCCTTTCTTGTATATGTATGTGAGATATATATATATATAAAACATAGATGCTATATATATATCTTGCAGGTAAATAAATGATATCAGATATACACAGTACAACTTCCTAGATTGTCAGCATTCTTTAATATATGCCAAGATTTATGCTGCTCTTTATGATATTCAATAATACCATATAACAGTTTTTCCTACTACAAAGTGTTGCAAAAAACATCATCTTTCATGTTGCATTTCTATACTCTAACAACAAAAGATAAGAGAGAGAAATTAAGGAAACAATCCCATTTACCATCACATCAAAAAGAATAAAATACCTAGGCATAAGCCTACCTAAGGAGGCAACAAGACCTGTGCTCTGAAAACTATAAGATGCTGATGAAATTGAAGATGACACAAACAGATGGAAAGATATATGGTGTTCTGAGATTGGAAGAATTCATATTGTCAAAACGACTATACTACCCAAAGCAATCTACAGATTCAATGCAGTCCCTATTAAAATACCCAAGACATTTTTCACAGAACTACAATAAATAATCCTAAAATTTGTATGGAACCAAAAAAGACCCCAGATAGACAAAGCAACCTTGAGAAAGAAGAACAAAGGTGCTCCCTGTTTTCAAACTATACCACAAAGCTACAGTCATCAAAACTGTATGGTACTGACCCAAAAACTGATACCAAGATCAATGTAACAAACTAGAGAACCCACAAATAAACCCACACTCATATGTCACTTAATCTATGATAAAAGAGGCAAGATTACACAATGGGGAAAAGACAGCCTCTTCAAAAAATGGTGTTTGAAAAACTGAATAGCTTCATGCAAAAGAATGAAACTCCACAAAAGTGTAAACTATATAATTATGTCAAAAATAAAAAGAAAGGTTATCATACTTTGAAGTATTATGTTAACAGAACATGGAACTTTTCCTATTCCATCCATAGTATAATTCCATAAAATACCTTTAGAAAAGGAAGAAAAAAACATCATGTTTCTTATTCCAAATAAGACCAGAGAAATGTAATAAGAAATGTCTCTTATTAAGGTATCTTCAAAGACTTGATGCATCAGAATGACCCAAGCCTCTAAGACCAAACAGTTAACTTAATTATCCAAGCCCCTAAGCCCAAACTGTTGACTCCTTCTGCTCAGATTTTATGTTTGTTGAGCAATTTGGTTTCTTCAGTAGATTCCTCTGCAGGGACAAAATGCCATGTCCCGAGAGTATGAGTATACAGCCATGTTATCTATTTAACGAAAACTCTTCCTTCTTTTAAATGAGTTTCTCTTTGACTTGGTTAACGTTAAGTGAACTGCTGGAGTTCTGCCAATGTGGTGCACAGAAACAAAATTAACTTTCTGTGTCTACAAAGATGAACACCAGAACCTGGACAGGATGAGTTAGTTGAGGAACACCCACATGAGGACTTGACCAACTTCACTTCTAACACAGTATGTTGTAAATTCTTCTTATTCATTATGTTTTCCAATAAGTCAGCTGACACTTTCTGAGTGCTATTAAGAGCTAGGCATTGTGCTAGACACTAGGACTGTAAAATTGAAAAAGACGTTGTTCCTGCTACCTGGAGCTCATTCTGTGTAGAAATACTGATAAGCTGATAAGTGAACATGGCTTATACAATGAATGCTATCATCAGCACAGAGTACTATGGGAACACAGAGGAAAAACACAGCAGGAAAGGAGAGTCAGGCAGTACTTCTCACATTAGAGCCACATAGTTTTGAAAGGATTTCATTCCTCACTTAGATGCTAATCTTCCCTAGGACAGGGCACTAATAACATTTAGTGTGTGTGTGCTGAGGGGTGGGGGAGACCAATGTGAAAGTCTTCCAGACAAATTAGAGGAATGTTAACCACAAACAAAAAAAGTCATATATCTATGTCCTGTTGACAACTTATGTGGTTGAGAAATCTGTTTATAATTATCTGAGCCTAGATCTTAATTCCATTTTATTTCTAATCAGAATATTTTTGCATTTTTAATATTCACTGAATTTCTAGAAATATCACTATGAGGTAACTCCAGGGAAGACTGCTGTGATATTTTGTTAGGTGATTAATAGTTTATCATGTTGGAGAATGACATCATTAATGGGAAAACCATTCTTTTTTTTTCCTGCTTTAAAAACATACAAGTGAGTCTACACTTGTAGCTGCCTAATTTAGATTATTCCACTTATAGGAATAGTGCAGTTGACCATTTATATATTAAAATACGTATTTCATTAAGACTCACTTACTTCCATTTCTCTTTCGTGTTTCAATTGGAGCATCCTGTTGTTTTTAAATTTGTATGTAGGTAGTTTATATTTTCTGTGATTTTCAATTTCTATTTATAAAGTAGGTATCATCAAGTATTTAATGTTAAAAGAGGGTCATGTTTGATATGATTCTTAAAAAAAAAAGAAAAAATAAGGAAGGAAGGAGAGTCCAAAATTTGTGGCTTTTACTTTGTGTAAGCATTTGTGGGAAGGTGAGAAAGATTGAGGTGTTTCAGGCTGGAAACCTAGTGATCTGTGCTCTGCACTGGCAAAATATTTGTATAAACGATTGCCAGGTATACAATAGACTAAAAACCTTGTTCAAAGAAAAGTTGCACCATTAGAAGACATGACTGAAATATTCAGAATTTTGGTATTTTTTCGATTCAAATTCCTAAGAGAGGCAGGAATTTAAACTGAATGTAGCCAACCTGTAAGAAGAGGTATAAGAGGCTACAACTCTGCTACAGGAAGCACTCTCTGCCTTGAATTTATAATAGAAAGTGACCAAAACTCAGGTAATTTGGGACCTTTCCATGCTTTCATTTTCAGAAGGAAAGTTTTAAATTAGTTATGCTTTTTCTATTGTATACGTTGTATTACGTAGTAGGAACAGAAAAATTTTTTTTAAAATTTATCATCAATTCTACTATGAGGAGTTCACCTGGATCATATTGGCAGGACCACACAGCACTCAAAAATTGTGAACACGGGTTAACCAGGTTTTAGAAGGATTTTGAGGTTGACTTCCTTGGAGAGGGAAATGGCAAGAGTGTTAGACTGGTGGGGAAAGGATAGACACAAATATTTGAGTGGATAGGAGTACAGTCGGTGGCAAAGACCTCTAGCTGTCCTCCATGTTCACTTCCCCATTATCTCACAGCAATATAACTCAATAAAGTTTTACACATAATACCCACTGCATCGTTTTCCCCTCCATACACACACCTTGAACAAAGATTACATTTTCCAGCATCCCTTTCAGGTAGATATGGCCCTGTGACATGTGGAGTGGGACATAAGCAGAGTCACGTGTAGAATTTCCAAACGTGGAATTTTAGGGACCACTCCTTCATTCCTGTCAACTGGAATGTAAATGTAAATGTTGGATGAGTGAAAGTCATCTTGTATCATGTGGATGAGTGCTAGACTGGAGGGATGAAGAGCAGCAAGATATAAGAAACCTTATTTTTATTGCAAATCTTACATACTGTGCACTGTGCCCCAACACTTGAAAAACTATGAGGGCTGTCTTACACCAGAGTTACACAACAATACCAATTGTTTTGTTTTATTTCTTTCATACTTATATTGAAATCATTCTGTGTAAGAATAATTTTGAATAACACTTCACTTAACATCTATTTATTATCTTATCATAAAATAGTATTAATTTGATCATTATTTGTTTCTAACAGGGGATTTTGTTAAAACACAAACATAACTGACATTAAAGTTAAGATTTATGATTTAAAACTGATTATGTCAACATTTAACTGAGACGAAAACTGTGCTGAATAAAAACAATTAACACTTTAAATAGCATAAATATATATCTTTATATAACATAAAGTTATACATACATATACAAGTGAGTACTGTTCTCTAAAAATGTGGGCTGCATGCTTGTGGCAGAATATAATCTGGAACGTGTGTCTGTCAATCATAAATTGGTCAGCAAAACAGTAATCACTCTAGATGTTGCAGGCAGAAATATTAACACTAAAAATTAGTTGATTGCAGAATTATTGTTAGGGCTGGAGGAACAAAGCTCAAGGAAAGCTGCCACTGAATCCAGCAGATAAAGAGACTGAAATATAGAGTATTTTTCTATATTTTTAGTACTCTCAGATACTTCTTTTTTTTATTAATTTATTTTTTTTTGAAGCAGATTTTTCATAGGATAATTCCCAGAGTCTGATGCAGACCTCATCTGCAACCTGCCCGGATATCTGCCCACGTCTGTCAGAGAAGAACTAGGGCTGCTTCTTCTTCTCTTCCACCTTACAAATCCTGCAATTGTATCCAGAACTTTCCTTCACACGTAAATCAAGGAAATGTCTTCCAACGGATTAAAGATTATGATGAACTAACAATAGGCAAATTGTCACAGTCCACACTTCTGTTAACTCAGCATATGTAAACATCCTTCTAGCCTTATTTAATTTTCAAATGCCAACAATAAAATCAACCACATGTTCCATCAAACGTGACGGCACCATCCTTCCTACAAATGAATACAGGTTCTTCCTCTATCCAGAAAGTGGGGAACACAAGTTTTGTCATTTACTCTCTGTATCCATCATGATCATTTCCCTTCCCTTCTAGGTTCAATCAAATTTCCCTTGGACATTCTGTAACCCAACAGTAAAATTTTAGGGTCAAATTTATATTAAAGTATTGGGAA